CCTGGCCACGTCGTTCATCCCCATGTACATGACAACCATGGGGTACTGGTCTGCAGGTTGGATGTAGGCCAGGATCCTCTCCATGATGTCCCTAACCCGAGCCCAAGGCATGAAGCAGACCTGTCACGCCGTGGGGTCAGGCCGACAGATGGGACCTTCCAGTTCTCATAGGATGGACTCTCCGATGACGAGGACCTGGTGTTTCTTCCTGCTGGTGTTCACTCTCTGCCCATTCTTTGTCATGTGGGGAATGGCATCGTCCCCGCCGGAGCCAATTTCTCTGTCTTTCTCCATCACAGCTGCCAGGATGTTGAACCTGTTCCCCAGGTGAACCTGGGGAGTTTTCACCACTCTAGGCCTAGCAGCTCTGGATTTGGACACCTTCTGCCACTCCTGCGCTGGATACGTCTCCTGTGGGGGGCTGTACAGTGGGCGACCAGGCCTGCAGAGAACAGAGATAGGCATCAATTTCATCCTCTGCATCCCTGACCCCCCTCAGCCTGGAGCTCCCTCACCTGCTCCTCCAGGGCCCTAAGTCATGCACAGGAGGGCCAGGCAAGGGGACCACGAGGCCCCACCCCCCAGGACCCCACCAAGCCTCCCCCCACAGACAGGGGGGCAAGGGGCCACCGATCCCACCATGAGCTCTGTCTGGGTGGAGGCCTCAGAATAGCCCATGGCAGGCGGCAGCGCCCAGGCAGGGCCCCTGGCAGCTGCACTCTGCGTCTGCACCATGTCTGCAGAGCTGTGCCTGCTGCTTTTGCTCACTGGAGGTGCTGCTCTGGGCAGCTACCTCACAGCCACCTTATGCGAAGGCAAACACCGGTGCCCCCTTACAGAGCACGCCTGTTTGCTCACGCTGCCCACGCGTGACTCCCTGTTGGGAGAGCTAAGAGGGCCCCGGAGAGCTTCCCTTCCGGATCCTCCTCAGCTGCGCTGTACCCTCTGCCCCACTTACCTTAAGGGGAAATCAGCTGTTGCTGCCCCTGCCGCTGTCTCCTCCGCAGCTGCTGCCTTCACCACCGAGGTAAGGTGTGTACACATGGCACATGTGCACCCTGCTCCCTCTGCTCCTGCTCCGCAACTGCCGGGGGAATTTCAAACTCCAGCTTTTTGGCAGCAGCTGTGAGAGGGTTAACAGCTTTAGCTACAAGAAGAGGAACTGACTGTCCCTTCTGCAAGCTCAGGATAGAGCCAGCCATTACAACATCCCTATACCTTCATTTTAGCACAGAAATCTGCTTTTGAGCTTAAAACATCCACCCCAGTTTTGGAGGGCTACTCTTTGGCAAAGGTGTGTTCACTGTATGCTGATGACAGTGTATAGCTGTAGCAAATAGCTGCATAAAACTACAGAGCAGTGCCAGCTGTTTACTTCACCTTTTTATTTCAAAGGCCGCTGCTTCTCCAGCAGCTGTCTGGGCCTGCCCATGATTGCCAGTTGAGTAAAGAAAGGGCACCCTTTGAAGTAAAAGCTGCAGCAAACAGCTGAACTGCTTGGTTTGCTGGGGGGGGGGGGTTTCTTATTATTTGGCAAGCTGCTGTGACTTGAATGGGTTGCAACCCACTTGGATATGGATATGTACTGCGTAAGACTCTCAACTGACTGTTGGTGAAATTGCATGCTTACCATGATTGGTTTTTATACAGATTCTTGTGCGCTAAAAGCGCAATTTACATCTTTCTGGGTTTTTTTAAATTCTCAGGTATTTGTTCAGCATGCAGTACATGTTTACCACTTCTTGGCAGAGTCTAGGCCATATTAATTCAATGCAACAAGGTGTGAATTATTACCACCCATTTTAGTATTTGAAATGATTTAATGGGATTATAAAATCTTTCTTGCTAATTAAGATGCAGAGCCTCCGCCTACTAAAATGTGTTTTTCTTTCTCCAGAAACAGCTGTTGATATGTGGGTACTTTTTTTGCAGTGCTTCTGGCAGAATGGCCCATTGTCAGATTTAGTTTAAGCACCATGTACGACTTTTAAGTGATGAATTACTTGCCCTTCTTTGCTTTGGAAGAGCAGCTTGAGATATTCAAGTATGCCCTAAGAAGGAAACTGCTTGTATGTTGAGATTAAATAAATGGTGAAGGCTCCAATCTTAAATTGTGTTTGACAAGCCAATAAATAAAAGTCTAGTCTTGGAAGACATATTGAGGCAAGAGCTAAAGGAGAGGAGCTCGGAGACGATATGGTTTACTTCACCTACTTACTAATAAGTTGAAGAATCTTATAGGACTATACAACATGGCATTACTTCAGTGAAGACCATTTTTTTTATTTTTATGTAAGAAGGTTTCATTTTTACATAAACTAATAGAAATGATTCTATTAATTGTTCAGAACAGAATTATGCTTCAGAATCTAAGCCAAGGTTACTTTGTTTAATAGTTATGAATTTGTGGAACTTGGACAATTGAATGTATGGCAATAATATTACCATCCTAATGCCATATATCAAAAAAGAAAGTGATGTTAAACCTGGTGAAATGCTAGGGGGAGGAAATGGAACTTTTTAGCTGTTTGTTTTTGTTGTTTTTTTTTTAACTTGCAGTGCAAAATGCAGAATTTTTACAACAGGCTGCTTTAGAAGAATATGGACCAGAGCTCCATGCGGCTTTAAGAAGTCGAAGAGATGAACTCCACTATTTAAGGAAGCTTACTGAGATGCTTTTCCCTTATATTTTGCCCCCAAAAGCAATGGAGTGCAGGTAAAAAAAAAAAAAAAAAAAAAAAAAAAAAAAAAAAAAAAAAAAAAAGGATTACAGGTTGCACTGTTGATGCATTCTGTTGCAGTTCTTTACAGTATTAGTAAAGTTAATTTGAATGTCTTCCCAAGGCAGCGATTTAGTTAAAATTCCTATATTAAATCCAGGTTGCAGTGTTGTATTTAGTAGCCATGTTGGTCTGAGACAAAGAAACACAAAGCTCTAGAATTCTTGGCTCGGAGACGATACCTTTTATTAAACCAACTAGACCAACTAAGAAATGTCTTAGTTGGTCTAATAAAAGGTATAATTCCTGTACGAAGATTTCTACAGTTTTTTGGATTTCTTACATTAAATCCAAAAGCCCATAACAGTTATACATGACTAAGCAAGCATTCTAAAATACTGTAGTATTATAACAAATATGAATTAGATGCACTGTTATAGCCTTTAGTGATTATACTCAAACAGTAACATTATTATAAGCAATGATAAGTTTCAATTATAATAACGTAAGAATTCTTGTCAGTATGGCTCTGTTGCAGAGCTCTTAGGTGCCCTGCGACTGAGAGCAGAAACGGCTCGGGAGAGACCCCTAGTGGCGAGAAGGGGGAAGCTCAGCTGCTGGTCACCAGGACTGCGCAGGTGCTAGTTGCCCTAGCAACCAGGGAAACCTAGAGACAGGAAGGGGCAGAGCTTAGCCCTTCTTAAGCCCAGGCAGAAGGCCAGGAGGGCAGTTTCCCTCTGGCGGCTGAGGGAGGAGGAACTCAGCCAGCACAAAAGGGGAGAACTCTGACGGTGGGAACATCCCCTGGTTCCTGCTGGGGGTTGATGCGCTCTCTTGCTCCCTGGTAGGGACGGATTCTTATTTGTGACCAGAACGGTCTAGCTTTTATGTTGTAGCCCGGGGGGGCTTTGTGTTCTTGTGTCTGTTGTTTTGACCGGAGGACTGGGTGAGACTGTTAGAAGTTGGAGGAGGCCTCGTAGGGATTCCACAGTAGCGTGGAGGTTCCTGGCGCTGGAGAGGGCGCAGCATTGTTTGGGGTGCGTGGGCCTCAGCCCCGACTGAAGGGGGCAGCGAGGAGCCCAGAGTTGGCACGGGCTAGAAGTCCCAAAATGGGTAGCGCAGGACAGGCTAGAAGGTGCCAGTAGGGGCGCAGGCTGTGAGACGAGCTAGAGGGCGCCAGTCAGGGTTCAGGCTGAGGTATAAGCCAGAGACCGTCCGCGCGGCGCAGAGAGTAGGACAGACCTGAACAACACCAGATACATCTGCGAGGCTTGGGCTGCGGTATAAGGGGAGGAAAGGAGCTGCATATAGTGCCTCAGGCACCGAGACAGAAAATAGGCAGCCTCCCGTTTGGTTAAGATCTTCCAATCAAGCAAATAACAAGGCATGGCAGGTGAGAAGGCAGGCGGTTGGCCCTTGATCGGTGTTGTGGGACCATGAATAGATGGCCCCGGCGAGGCACAACTGTCACAGGCTCCAATACAACTTCTCTGACACGATCAATGAACGCTTCTATATTAGTGTTTTTATCCCCCCCAGATTCTTTCATTACAGTGGCTCTCTCACGCTTTCCTCCGCCTCCCCCATGAGTTGTTGATTCCCAGAATCTAGTTTACATTTGTACATAATAGTACACCATCGAACATTTTGCTTATTGTATAACTACATGGACCTTCCTTACTATGAATAACTTTGTCAATATGCCAACCTTAACTTTGAATTTCTTTTCTGTGAAGCAACCAAGCAACTTGATTTGGAAGACTGAATTCTTACAAAATCAGTGGTATTTGGAATATTCTATATCTAAAGGACAGTTAATCAAGGGAATGGAAAAGGGAATTGAAAGTGGAGCTTCTGTACTTGCTCCATTTCCATGTTGTTCTTTTGTGTCCTTAAGCCAAATCATTAGGTAAAAAGCAAACAAGTGAAAATCGAATCATTTTGTTACTGTCTTCAACTCGCCGTGAAGGCTTGGTGTGCTTGTTCTACATATTAGGCTGAGCATAGGAACAATGTTAAATCTGGAATGCTGTTGTCTTCCCCCCCCACACGCCAATTAAGGATGCTGCTGCAGACTGAGGTAAGAGTTGGGTGATATACCAGAGCTGGGCCATGGTAGCTAAGGGAGTCAATGGCCCATTAACGAACCATTGTTCATTATTTCGCAGGTGTTTAAAAATCATCTCCCCTTTTTAATGGTCTTTCCACTAATTAAGCTAACCTATTTTTAGAGCAATTTTGCTCTCTGCTAAGGCCTCCTGTGTTGCAGCTGGTGCTGCTCGGCCTTTCCACCCTATGCCCAGGACACTCATTTTAATTTGCATTGGCCAGCCAGGACTAGCCTCCAAAATCCAGAACTATTTCTGGCAAAAGAGGGGACATAGGGTCACCCTATACATAATGGGAATGTTATGTTGGGCGCTATTTTGTTCCAGGTAGATGAAGCTTTCATAGACATGAGGGGCTGGAAGGGACTTCGTGAGATAGGATCCAGCCCTGCCACCGTAGGTGAGAAGTCAGCTGGGATCAAGTGATCCCAGCAAGAAAAATATCTCAGTGTTTTTCAAAAAAAAAAAAAGAGTCCCCCCAGAGGTGGTGCAAACACCTACTCTGGAGTCTGTTCCAGACCCTGGACACACACATCGTAAAGAACTTTTTTCTTGCGTCTAGTCTAAATCAGCCTTCCTGGAGTTTATGGCTATTAGACCTTGTTATCCCTTGGGGAGCTCTGGTGAACAGCTGTTCTCCCAGGTCCTGATGTACCCCTCTTATGTAATTGTAGGTTGCTACCAAGTCCTCCCTGACCCTTCTTCTCTTCTCCGGACTGAAGAGTCCCAAGTCCCTCATCCTCTCCTTGTCCGGCCTGCCCTTCAGGCGTTGGATCATACGAGTGGCTGTCCTCTAGACTCTCAAGCTTTTCCACATCCCTCCTGAAGTGGGGGGCCCAAACCTGGACACATTATTCCAGCTGTGGTCTCACCAGGGCCAAGTAAAGCAGGAGGATGAATGACATCTCTGGTTTTGCTTGAGATACATCAGTAGATGCATCCCAGAGTTTGATTTGCTTTGCCAGCCACAGCATTGCATTGCTGACTCATATTGTGGTCAGTCAGGACCACCCCCAAGTCTGTTTCGGTCATAGTTTCTAGTGTCGGAAGGGACCTGAGCAGATCATCTAGTCCGGCCCCCTGCCATGGCAGGAAAGAGTACTGGGGTCAAACGACCCCAGCAAAGTGTTCGTCTAACCTCCTCTTAAAAACCCCCGAGAGGAGCCTGCACCACCTCTCTTGGAAGTTGGTTCCAGACCCTAGCCGCCCTGACCGTGAAATAGCGCCTCCTGATGTCTAACCTAAACCTACCCTCTGCCAGCTTGTGACCGTTATTCCTGGTCACTCCTGGCAGTGCTCGGGGGAACAGTGACTCCCCCAATGCCTGCTGATCCCCCC